CAGCACAATACATAGCTAGGAGTTCCCTACCGAATGTGCTGTACCTCGATTCGGTGTATAGCAACCACCTAGAGAAAAATGCCAAGGGTTGCCAGGAGTTGTTAACCCATTGTTGTAAGACTCCTCCGATTGCCGAGTCGGATGCGTCTACTGCGATACTAATGGGTGCTCGGATGTCCTGATGTGCGAGCATTGTTGCTTTAGCGATCAGTTCCTTAACTGTGGATAATGCTTTTCGTGCGGTATCGTCCAAATTAATGGATTTCGCATTTCCACGAAGTTGGTCGGTAAGAGGTTTCATAAGTAATGCGCATTTCGGTATGCAGCGTCAATAGAAACTTACAAGGCCGTTAAACGTGCGTAATTGCTTGACGTTGGTCGGTTCTGGGTAATCCATAATGGCCACCACTTTGGTCCTAAGAGGTCGAATGCCTTGAGCATCGATAGTGTGTCCTAGGAATTCTAACGAGTCGGTTCCGAATTGGCATTTCTGAACATTTACAGTAATGCTGTTTTTGTAGTCGATCAAAAACAAGATTCAGTTGCTTGAGATGTGATTCTTTGTCCGGACTTGCGATTAGGCAGTCATCAACATACGCATGTACGAAGTTGAGACCTCGAAAACCGTCGTCTATGAATCTTTGGACTGTTTGAGCAGCGTTCCTTAGACCGAAACGCATTCGCAAGAATTCATAGAGTCCGAAGGGAGTGATGATATCTTTTTTCGGTATGTCGTCAGTGGCCATGGGAATTCGGTTATACGCTTTAACCAAGTCGATTTTCGAAAAGACAGTTGTACCTTTCAAAACAGCTGTCAATTCGTGAATGTGAGGCAACGGTTAACGATCGGGAATGGTTTTTGCATTCGATCGCCGATAGTCACCAGTTGGACGCCAATCGTTGCTAATCGTTTTTAGGGAACATGTGCAACGGAGATGCATAAGGGCTGTTTGACGGTCGCACGATTCCTAAGTCTATCATGTGATCGAATTCGTTTTTCGCTAACCTCAGCTTTTCAGGAGCTAGTCGTCGTGCTTTAGAGAATACGGGTGGTCCTGTAGTCGTGATGTGATGTGTAACGTTGCTGGTTACACACGGTAATTTTGGTTGCGATTGATGAATGCCAGGATACTTATCGAGTAGTGGTTGATAAAGTGGGTCTATCGTATGCTTAATTGTGACTGGGGATAATCTGCAACCAGAAAAAGAAGTTACACAAACGGATAAATTAGTGTTTCCGTCTACTAGCCTCCGTTTGCGCGTATCGATGATCAGATTATGGTGTTGTGGAAGGTCCATACCAATGATTGGCATAGAATCATCTGCAACAGCGAAGATCCAGTGAATTGGTTTGCGTAAACCCACGTTAAGGTAAACGCACCTTTAGCCATACGTGGCGATATATTTTCCGTTTGCCGCCTGTAAGTTTAGAGCCGATTCGTGAAGCCGATCGTTAAGATTTGCTGAGGGAACGCTAACTTCTGCACCAGTGTCGACGAGGTAGCGAACTCTCGTTACCACATCTGTGACGTACAACAGACGGCTATGATTGCCGGCTACGGTTGCCATTAACGCGTGCCGGCTTGGAAGTTTCCCGCGTTGTTTTTCGAGTCAGTTGGTTTCGTGTTGGGAAAATTGCAGGGTTTTCTGCAACTTCTGGAATACTTTCTATACTGGTTTTGATATCAACACCAGTCGGGTTATCCGTCTCTCATGGTCTAGAGACAGATCGCTTACGTGAAATGCTTCTACGTGGGCTGTGTGAGCGATTACGGTCGTCACGAAGATTAAGATAACGCGTGAGTGTATGACATAACTCGGTTATGTCATTCTGAGTAGATTGAGGCTTTTCTTTGACTGAAAATACCTCTGTAGTAGACGATTTCGTTATTTCTAAAATACGATCGGTAGATGCACCCAGCTCGTCTAAGGCATTGTTCTGAAACGAGACCAGAACCGCTTGCACCTGTTGAGGAAGTTTAGACAAGAAAAGTTGTTTAAATAGGCCTTCGTCGAAAGTTCTTAGTCCTGTCACTTCTCTCATTCGTTGCAACATGTCCATCGCAGAACCGTGTTGCAGGTCGATGTTATTGAAGAGTTGATCTAACCTTTGTCGATCGGTTAGGTCTCCTCGTTTAAGGATAGAACGCTTTAACGTTTCGTACGGTTCAGAAACATCACTAGTAAACATACTAGGTGTTACGTACCTGTTGAATTCCCGCGATGGTGCCTTGACTACTGCGAGGAATTGTGCACGTGTGTCGATCACGCCGTGCTCGGAGAAGTCAGCTTCGATATTGTCGAGCCAGAAAGGCATGAGTTGAAACGAAGGCGGGGACAAAAGCTTAAGCTTGAGTACTTTGGGTGTCTGTTCAGCCATGATGAAATATGAAGTACGATAATGAACGAGGGGAAAAAAATATATATATATCCAAGAAAAAACACGAAAAAAATCACAATGTTTAAAAAAAATAAGGTAATGATATATGAAAATCCCGAAAAGGACCAGACTCACGGTTGCAATTAGGTGTACCAAATCACGTCGGGCTCACCAATGAAGATGATACAGGTATTCGGTGTTTGACAACGCTTCTACCAGTAACACCTTCTAATAAACTTTGTTCCCACCGAGAGAAATCAAAAGACAGAGTCGAGGAGATCGGAATAGTGTATTTGGCCATAACCAATATATCGGGAATCTCTGATCTAATCTGGCTAGCGATTGCGGTAGATGTTGAGCACAGCGTTACCACACGTGATCTGGTGCGGATGCATGACCGAGCGCCTTCAGCTAGATGAGTCCACTAAAACATATGGTCAGCATCCAATGTCGAAAACCTACAGAGCTATTTATTTCGGGGATTTATTTACCGCTACAATGCAACCGAGCGACTACCATACATTGGACATCACCATATACCTGGAACCGTACTGAAATAGCAAGAGGTGAGTGCGAAGAAATCAATTGATTTAAACAAGTTTGTCTCAAATATATTGGATATTGTAGGTATATGCACATACCACAAATGAAGCCTGTACACGCAACCTAGCATATGAAGTTAAATTTTTCTCCGTCTTTCCCCTAAATTTGAACATATAGGTCTGTGCTTAAACGAACGGTTAATTCACCCAAGCTTGTTAAGAGACCTTGTGTCTCGATTTGCAACCTCTTGTCCTTGAATTGAACGACCACATTAAGTTTGACCTTGGTTGGTTGGTCTGTGTGGCAGATGCGTGTGCATCCTTCTCGGTTAATTCGACTATCTTTAATCTCCCTATTACTGCTACTATGTATCGCTATTATATATAATAAATATTTGGATAAAGCGCTATCTGGACCTAATTCTATAAGCCAACTTATCCGGAATCAAGATTTTGCAAGTGTACACAATGTAAAGCCATTTAAAATAGACTGGGAAAACTACTCGCTGACTGCACTTGAAAGTTCGAGAGTGGGACCTGGAGAGAACGGCATGGCTTTCGAACTATCCCCTCTCGATAGAGAACTATCTAATAAAACTATAAATGAGAACGGTTTCAGTGTGTATGTTAGTGGGAAAATCAAAATAGATAGATCTATTAAAGATATCCGCCATCCACGTTGTAAAGGGAAACTACATTCCAGCAACCTTACTACTGCTTCAGTGATTATCTCTTTTTTTGAAGAGCATTGGGAGACTCTCCTACGCACAGTCGCATCTGTTTTGAATCGAGCTCCTTCAGGGCTAATCAAGGAAATAATTTTGGTTGATGATGGAAGCTCACGAAAATATCTGAAAGATGAACTTGATAATCATCTTGCAACTGCGTATCCAAGTGGTATAGTACGTGTAATTCACCTGGAACAGAGGGGAGGTCTTATTCGAGCGAAAACAGCGGGCGCCAGAGAAGCTACTGGGGAAGTGCTCATTTTTCTGGATTCTCATTGTGAAGCAGGAATAAACTGGCTTCCGCCGCTGCTTGATCCAATTGCTGCGAACTACAAGACTGTTGTTTGTCCATTTATTGATATAATAGATGCAAATACCTTTGAATATCGTGCTCAAGATGAAGGGGCTCGAGGAGCATTTGACTGGGAGTTGTACTATAAGCGCCTTCCACGATTACCAGAAGATAGATATCATCCTGATGAGCCTTTTGACAGTCCAGTGATGGCAGGAGGTCTGTTTGCCATCAGTGCGAAATGGTTTTGGGAACTTGGAGGCTATGATCCTGGTCTTGTTATTTGGGGTGGAGAGCAATACGAGTTGTCATTCAAGATTTGGATGTGTGGAGGGCGTATGATTGATGCCCCGTGTTCTAGAATAGATCATATATATCGTAAAAACTCAACTAACTTTCCGAAAGCAGAATTCGGGGATTTTGTTGGTCGGAATTACAAGTGAGTGAAACAGTTGTATTATTTTACTGACTATCTAGAACATCGTCTACGGTATTTTCCGTCGAATTTTCAAGTTTATTTCTAACATTCGATAACATTACAGTTTAAGACAAAGTACACTGATGTGTACAAAATCGACATATATTTTACTTCGCTCCTTGAATTTTTTAGTGTAATTTTGACCGCACATTTATGATTCGCGTACTCAATTAAAACCTAGGAAAATTTCTTTACTGGAGTTCAGATTCATGCATTTTCTATGAGAAGTGATGACACTACCTAACTCCTCAGTGATATATGTTGGCGAAATCCATACTTTCAGCTTAATAGTGGCAAAACCAGCATCCCTCTAATTTTCAACCACATGACAGCTTTAGTGTCTCTTATGTCTTATCAGAACAAATCTTTGTATTCCTATTTTTAGTTAACTACAACACAAACCAATCAGTTGACTATATACCAAGGATAGGATTTAATCACTTCAGATTGATTCAATTTGTAAACAAGAAATGTGCAGGTAAAATACTTATTAAACTTAGATAATAAGTTGTTCAGTTTTGAAAGTGATAACATACAATTAAAAATGAATTTCACCCACATGGTCTAGCGTTGCCAGCGGTCGGTCGCTGCTATCAATGTGGATTCAGGTTAGGATCCAGATAAGTATAAATGGGTTTAAATTAGTATCGTATCCCACCACTATACGGTCAGAAGTGTAATGTTAAATCTGACTAGAAAATGCTGATTTCCATGACTACTCAAAATTTTCTGTCACCATTAAGTAAAACATTTAGTTAAGTCATTAGCAAGTTTTGTATCACACGTCACATTAATAGAAAAATATCGCAACGTAAAGTGGTGAGTAAATATGGATAAGGCAGTAACTACCACGATTGAAAAGTCGGGAAATGCATTTTCACCTACAGAATATATCTGGACGCATAAAAATCATCATTTAGACCCAGGACACTTCAATAAAAGCTGATCTTTTCTTTATTTCGTGAAGCATGCTAACTTGAGTAACTTAAGTGTGGTCAATATCTACATAACTTCATGGAAGTAGAGTTATGGACTTTTTGGTGAAGTAAGTAATTGCAATAACTATGCTGTATTTTCACTAATATTTGGGACCTTGTATACATTAGGTTTGTTGCATAGTATCAGTCGACATTGAATTAAGATACTCAAATAAATGACCCCTGATTTACTCAGAGAACAAATTTTTTTCGAAAATACCCAAAGTAGCCAGTTCGATGATTTGCTGTTTTCACTACATATCTGGTTAGCTTGAATAAATTTAGAAGACGAATCATCCCCATACTTTCGCCTTAGATCATTCGTGTGTATGGAAATATGACCGAACTACTTGTACAGTGTGACCAGATACTAGTAGTAATTAAAAGATATGGTGAGTGAAACATCAGTTCTTATAATTTGGTAAATATCAACTGCACTGTCTACTCGTTCTGATATTTTATTCCGTATCAGCCCGAAAGTGACAAAGGTGGAAGCTGGTCTGCACGATTGATAAGAATGTTAGCTTTCAATGAAGCCTATAAATATTTCCAGTCCTTCAGACTGAATACTTCTAAAAAATGTTAAAAATATGACTATGAAGCTGATTAGTTCTCTGTTGTTTCAGTTGTGGGAACTATAAGACAGCAAATAAGTTCCCTCAAATCTCTTCAAAGTAATAGAGTTTTGTCTGCTTTGATAGGTAGTAACGAGGAGATTTTAAGGTTTGAAATAATCTTGATTTACCATCCACTCAGCCTGGTTGACCACATATAGGTTTACAACAACTTGTGCTATTTAACATACCTAAACAAATTGAGTTATTAGGAAACTTGAATAATCATTTTCTAGTCTCTATATGAACCTAGGTGGTAAAAAGTGAACTCAGTATCACCAGACAGCATAGAATATTAATGTCATAGGTGGGACTTCTATCAGTCAGTCAGTCAGCTACAACGTAGGACCAGGCACATATATGCACCGGTCCAAGTTGCCATACCTCGTTAGCACAGCAAGATGAACACCGGATTCATAGGAGTGGTTAGGTTAAAGGTGGTAATATATAGGAGAAAGATTGTATATAAGGAAACAGTACCGGAATATAGAATTAGTTCGTAGAAAGAAAGATATGAAGCGATTTTAATCTCTTAGTTTAAGGGAAGACAGGGAGTGTATACACCGACGCCATTGTGATAGATTCTGAGCCATGTCACCAAGAGTCTCCAACCATCGGTTACGAAAGTCACGCGGACCCCAACCAAGTAGTCTGCATCTACCAACATGACTCAGACTAGAGGTTAGTGTCTTCAAGCACTGATGCCACGTTTTGGTTTGGCCGCCCCTAATTCTCTTCCAACCATCTCTAACAACCGTTAGCATTGCACGTCGTGGTAATCGGTGTTCAGGCATACGTAACACGTGGCCCAACCATCTTAGTCGATGAAGATTAACAACCTCATCAACTGATTTACCATCATTACCTAATACCCTGCGTCTAACCTCACTATTACTTACCCGGTGATCCCAACGGACACCAGCAATATTTCTAAGGCATCTGTTGTCAAATACTAGTAGCTTACGGGTGTCTTCTCTTCTTAAAGGCCATGTTTCGCTGCCGTAAAGTAAGACAGAACGGACTGCCGCGCACTATACTCGTCCTTTTATTGATAGACGGATATCTCGCCTTCGCCACAGGTGACGCAAGTTGGCAAAAGCCAAACGAGCTTTTCGAATCCGTGCTGAGATTTCGTCCGATACCAACCCATTAGGGCTGATCAGACTTCCAAGATAAGTGAAGTTGTCGACGCGTTCGACCACTTCACTCCCTATCCTTAGTTCAGGTGTTGACGCAGACCAGTCCTGAAGCAACAACTTGCATTCAGAGGAAGAGAAGCGCATTCCAAACATTGTGGCATTGTAGCTTAGTGCTACCAAAAGACTGTATTTTATCAGCGTCTTCGCCAAACAGGACTATATCATCTGCGTATTCCAAGTCGATAAGTGGACCTCCTGGAAGGAGATCAATACCTGAGAATTCAGTCGACGAGAATGTTATTTCCGTCAGTAGGTCTATGATGAAGTTAAACAGAAATGGAGAAAGTGGACAGCCTTGACGGACACTACTTGAGGTTGCAAAACTAGATGACAGTTCGCCATAAGCTCTGACTCGACTAGTAGTGTTCGAGTAAAGAGCCTTTACAAGGTTTATGTACTTCTGGGGTACGCCTTTCAATGACAGACACTGCCACAGAATCTCGCGGTCTACCGAGTCAAATGCTGCTTTTAAGTCAAGAAAGACCACCATTGTCGGACGACGATAAGTATGCCTGTGTTCTAGAACCTGACGAATGATGAATATGTGGTCGATGCAGCCACGACCAGGTCTGAAGCCAGCTTGGTTTTCTCGTGTTTGAAGTTCACGAGTCTTAGTTAGGCATCTGATTATTATTGAGGCTAGTGTTCTAGATACTATATTTGTTAAACTAATCCCTCTGTGGTTGTCACAAGATGATTTTGATCCTTTCTTATATATTGGGACGATAAGTGATGGCGACCAGTCAGATGGAATAACATCTAAATCCCAGATCTTAGCTAAAATATTAGTCAATCTAATCGCTAAAATTGGACAACCATCCTTAAAGACTTCTGGATCCAATCCATCTGGACCAGCTGCCCTTCCTCGTTTCAGATTAACTATAGCCTTTTGAACTTCTGCTAGAGTTGGGGGACCTACTTCAATGTTCCATTCACACTGTCTGGGAATGGACGGTAGTTGTAGAGTAGCTGAAGGCCAGCTGAACTGTTCCCTAAAGTGTTCCGCCCATCGTTCTAAACGTCTGGACTGGGAATAGATGAGAGTATCGTCTTTTTCCGAGATAATCTCACTTACACTTGACTTATTAGTTTCAGTTTCTTTTATTAGTTTGTAGAGCTGTTTTGTGTTCCCTATAGTCGCTGCCTTTTCCATCTCTTTTGCTTTCGTTGCCCACCACTGCTCACGGTCGTTTCTTAGACTTTTTCTTAACCTAGATCTGATTTGTTGTCGCTCTTCATCATGTTCGGAACCTGATGGGACGAGTTTTGCGAGAATCCATCAGTGTGATAGACTTTGAAGAAATCCACTGGTTCTTTGTAACTCTGTGGGCTAAGTCACTAATAGATTTCATTGCTGTTTCCACAGTTGTTTTCATATCTTTCCAAACAACATCTGGGTCAGCCTCGTTTTCAGAACTACCTAAGTGTGACCTCAGTTGTTCCTGGAACTTTTGGTTTTCTCGTTACTCAACTCAGTTCTAATGGGTCTTTTTAATGTGGCTTTTTTGCGTCCAGTGAGGCGCAAGCAGATGCGTGCCCGTATTAGGGCATGGTCGGAGTCCAAGCAGGCACTCTAGAATGAGCGACAATCTTCTACCGACCCTCTCCAACGATGACTGATGGCAATATGGTCTATTTGAGTCCATCGTTGGTTTGGTGTAGGGGGTCGCCATGTTAGACGATGTCTCTCCTTATGCTTAAAATTTGTGTTTGCTAAAAATAAACGATTGTCTGAGCATAGTTGCAGCAGACGATCACCATTATCTGTTCGTTGTGCCGGAATACTAAAATACCCACCTAAATGCCTTTCTGTTTGGTTTAAACTATCTATCTGGGCATTAAAGTCACCTGCTACGAGTACTATGTCTGAACGTTTAGCTTTCTGAAGAAGTTCAGAAAGCTTTCTGTAAAATTCATCCTTCACTTCATCTGAGCTGCAGTCGGTGGGAGCGTAGGCAGAAACGACAAAAAGACAACGACGTGTGTCCCTATCCTTCCGAGTTCTTACGGAGCCGTTTAGCCGGACAGCACATAGACGACTGTTGACGGGGATCCACTCTAAAAGTGCTTGTTCAGCCCTCATGCTTAGTGCTATGCCTACACCTGCCAGTCCACAAGAGCTGGTCATCGGGTCACCAGATAGATGGAGAGTGTATCTCGTTGGCTCTCCGTTTTGCCGATGTGAGGTTAAGTGAATGGCCACACTGGGACCCTGTATGCGTGTTTCAGAGACACAGCATACATCAATGGTACGAGATTCTAGGGTTCTAGCCAAGGAAGCCTGTTGACCGATTTGACATAGGGTGCGTACGTTGAAGACTCCAATGTGTAGTGTGGAGCGAGGTTTCAGTAGACCTGGGACAGTGTTTTGAGCACTAGAATCGTTGGCTATGGTGATACTTGATGGGGAAGCTGAAAAAAAGAAGTTTAGAGTTTGAAGTTGATGTAGGAGGAATAATAGGAATTGAAGAGGGAGGTTGATTATGAATCCAGTGGTCTTGAGTGCTGTTAGAGGTATGAGGGCGGTT